TTTTAATTCTTTGAATATTATCATATCAATTATAAATCTTGAGTATAAAAGCTTATTTTTCTGTTTTGATAATTAAATATTAGTAAAAGTGATAATATATCCAATAAAATAATACTCATATAAGTTTTTATATCTTATAACTTACTATATTTAATATATCAAAATCAATAAGATATGATAGATTTGTGACAGATTTAATATAATTAAAATAATCAACTTTTAAGATCTTGTCAAAAATTCAAGAGATATAATTTTAAATTATATAACTTCTCAAAAAATAATAGTAATTGATTTTTGATGAATTTCAATTTGTAAATATAAAATTTTATGAAAAAATTATATTATTAATTCTTTTTCTACAATCAATTAATTTTTTTTTGAAATATAATTATATCTCTCTAAGTATATTTCTCTTGAAACTATAGTAAAAAAATAAAAAATATGTATTTAGAAATGGTGTATATTTATAAAGATCAAAATATATAAAGTTCTTATAAGCTAGAATCAGAATATATATATATTTAGAGAGAAAGTATTTAGAGAGAAAGTACTTAGAGAGAAAGTATTTAGAGAGATCTAATTATATATATTTGCTTAGATGAATAATCTATTAAATATTATATTTATCATTTTATTAATATCTTTGATTATTAAGTACTATATAAAATTATTCAATTTTAGGATCAATAAAGATTATATTGATAGAGTTATTTACTCATCTGCTTGAATTTTATAAACTTTTCTTTATATTTTATATATATATTCATTAATTAAGTATAAATAAGTAAGTTTATTAAATGATCTTATGAGAAATATGTCATTTATTTTTTTTTAAAGTGGATAGATCAGAACAGAACTTATATAAAAATTAAATAAATAAAATAAAAATTAATTTATAAATAAATTAAATAAATAATCTTATCTTATAATAAAATATAAAAATATATTAATAGAGTATATAAATATTAGTATAAAAGTGATTTCAGATAGATTTTGAGAAGTTTTGTGTATGAGTAAGTATTTAATATAAATCTTTCAAAATTAAAATAAAAGAGTATATCATTTTTAAGTTTATTTTAAGTTTGTATTACACTTAATAACTTTATCTCTGGATATTAATATCTTATTGATAGTCTTATTAATAATGTTATCAAGTAGCTATTCTATGTATATCTCAAAATAATATATTAAAATAAATAATAACTTGTGAAAATTATACTATAGTTTTTGAAACTGTACTATTTTAATATATCTTGATTAATAATATGTTAATATATTTTTTATTTCTGAAACTTGTGATAGTTACTATTACTTTTCTCTTGTACTTTTTACCTATTTTAACATTCTCTTTGATAATAAGTAGCTTTTCTCCAGTTAAAGATAGTATTGAAGACAAGTATATTTTTAGCAAATTCATATTTATCAGAAGTTAACTTATTAAAGAATATTACAAGATTTATAGCATTAAGAGAGAATATAAATAAGAGATTAAAGATAAAATAACAGAATAATTAATAATAATCTTTGAGATAGTACTGCAGCTTGCTTATTTTAGTAAGATCTTAAGTTCTGAATAATTAAAATTAATATTAGAGCCAAAGTCATTAATGAGCTCATATATCAGAAATTGAGTAAAGAGAAGCTATTTTTATCATTCAAGATCATCTTACTACTTTATATTAGAGAATCAGATATAGAAGATAATTAAGATATTAGTATTTTGAAAGCTAGTTCAGAAAAAAAAGTCATTGTAAAGTTGTGTGACAAATAAAGATTTTTTTATATCAATTTTTTCTTGCATAAGTCAATATTGATGAGATGCCAAGTTTCTTAATTATCTTGTATATAGAGAAAATAGGATATTGTTTTACTATATAATAGAATTTGGATATAAAGAACACCAAAATAGATGAATATTTCAGCTAATAATAAAAAGATGAAGATAGTTTCAAAAACAAGGGAGGAAATAATAAAAAAGTATCATAATTTTTAGAAATTAAAATTACTAATACTTATTAAATCTTTTCAGATTAAGATCAAAAATGATAATGATCACAGCAAATAGAACATTTAAAATGATAAAGAGACAAAGACCAAAAGAAAAAGAAAACAGGAATTGCAAAGAAGAAGATAAAAACAAGAACAACAAGATCAAGAAACAGGAAAAAAAGTAAGTAATTTTAGAAGTTAAAATTCTATTAACCCCTGATATTAGAGAAAGAAACAACAAGTCAAAGAAATAAGTAACTTTATTATTCACCTTTTTCACAAAAATAGCAAAGAAGAAAAGAGAAAAACAAAAACAAAATGAGAGGAACAAAAACAAAATGAGGCGAGCAAAATAGCAATGGTAGTGTTGCAAGTCAGTATTGAAAAAACACGATATAAATGAATAAATAGCCACCTATTTAAGTATTGTTTTGGATATTTAAATTTTCACTTTTTGATAATGTAATAAAAAAGAAAATACATGCCGAGCTCACGGGACTCACCAGGAGAAACTTTGCATTTTGAGCAATGCCAATACCTATAATAAAAGTAGTAAAAAAATCCACTTTTCTCTTCAACGACTATTCCATGTTCTCATCATCATTTCTATTCAAGTCTCGGAGATATCCAATGCCTTCTCCATTAGGCTCATATCTATCGTTTGGTAACGGGCTATTTAAACCAGCTTACTTCCATAAACCTTAGCCAATGCATAGAGATAAACAAGCCGTGAGCAATAAGAAAAATTTGATAATCCGTAATATCAGCTAATATTGTGCATGAAAGTATACCTTACAAATGATTAAAAGTAACATAAGCACTCCCCTGGATGTTTAAAATTTCATCGTTTGTGATATAATAATAAAAGAAAACCCATAATCAAAAAGCAATTATATATTCTTGGGTTTCGTCCGAGCTCACAGGACTCATCAGTTGGCTTTTGCGAAAGCTTCGCATTTGAGCAATGCCAATACCCAAGAAATCCTTACTTAGATAATTCTAATTAGGTATTTCTGGAGTAATTGATAATAGAAAGGAAATCAACGGAAAAATATAAAATCCACTTGTCTCTTTCCACGACTTTCCCATATTTTTATTATCGTCTCATCCAAAGTCTCCGAGATACCAACGCCTTCTTCCTTGTTCAAGCCGGCTTGCTTCCGAAATCCTATATCATAAAAAAGGCAAGGCGAGACAGCAGCACAGCATCTATTTGGTTATTTATTTTATTTGTTGGTTTAATACTTATTCCGCAACCAATAATCTAGTCTCCAAATCCATCTCCATCAGGCTCGTATCCATCGTATGGTGGCGGGTTGTTCAAGCCGGATTGCTTCCGAAATCCTATATCACAAAAAAAAGGCAAGGCGAGAAAACAGCACAGCATCTATTTGTTTATTTATTTTATTTATTGGTTTAATGCTTATTCCGCAACCAATAATCTAGTCTCCAAATCCATCTCCACCAGGCTCGTATTCATCGTGTGGTGGCGGGTTGTTCAAGCCGGATTGCTTCCGAAATCCTATATCACAAAAAAAGGCAAGGCGAGACAACAGCACAGCATCTATTTGTTTATTTATTTTATTTATTGGTTTAATACTTATTCCGCAACCAATAATCTAGTCTCCAAATCCATCTCCACCAGGCTCGTATCCATCGTGTGGTGGCGGGTTGTTCAAGCCGGAATGCTTCCGAAATTCTATATCACAAAAAAAGGTAAGGCGAGACAACAGCACAGCATCTATTTGTTTATTTATTTTATTTATTGGTTTAATACTTATTCCGCAACTAATAATCCAGTCTCCAAATCCATCTCCACCAGGCTCGTATCCATCGTGTGGTGGCGGGTTGTTCAAGCCGGCTTGCTTCCGTAAACCTTAAGCTAATACGTAAAAAATAAACAAGTCGCGAGCAGCAACCCGACAAGCTTTTACCCTTCGTTCTGAACCGCTCTAAAAGTCAAGCAAGTTAAACGCAACCACCGTTCTACGAAGAAGTCAAGCAAGTTTAATACAACTACCGCTCTACAAGGAAGCCACGCGAGTTAAACACAACCGCCGTTCTACAAAGAAGTCACGTTTAACACGATATACCGTTCCAAGTCAAGCACAAGTAGCGTCGCGTCCGTTCCAAGCAGTCGTTGTGTCGTTAAGCAATCCAAGCAGTCGTTGTGTCGTTAAGTAACAATAAAAAGTTAAAAAAAAATAAAAAATAAAAAAATCAGAAAAGCTTTCTTTTTATAGTTGAATTGTGTGTATACATGTATGTATATGACTAATTTTTTTTAATAAGCTGTGAGGCGTATTTTTATTACGACAATGTTTAGATGACACACTTGTTTATTATCATTATGCGCTGATTTATCCGTTTTACCCACATCGTGGGAATAAGTTCAAGAGCAGAAAAAAATTTATCATATGTAACACACAATTAATTAGGGCATTAACTATTTCAACTTAATAAATAATTATAATTTATAATTGATAAACTAAATATATAAGCGAAGAAAAAAGTCGTAAAGATTTCGAAAAAAGATAAGATAATTGGGGAAACGTACATAATCATGACATGTAGTCTCTGTGGATGAATGCACCTGAGGTTGGAAGAAAGGTGCTGCGAGATTTCTCCGAACATTGCTGTCCTTTTATAGGGGAATCAAAAATTATCAAGGACTTTATATTATATCATTGTATGTTTAATCTGACCCGTGCTATCCGTTATGCTACAAATTTGATAGAAAATAGCTTGCATTAGCAATCAAAATATATTATTCATGCGCAAGAAAAATAAAAATGTATATATTTGCTGGCCGAACAACTATCCGTCATAAGATGCAAATTTGATAAATTATCGTAGAAAATAAATCAATGGATAAATTATCTTGCATTGACAATCGAATATCATTATTCATGCGCAAGAGAATAAAATGTGTATATATTTGCCGACCGAACCTACTCTAATTACAAAATAAAACTTCGCAGTTCATCAATAAATTTGCTTATCTACACACGATGTCTTGTGCTCTCGTTTTTCTTTTCACTTTAACTTTCGTTTCTTCAGCCACTGCTGGGTTTCACAGAATTCCACTTCATACCGTTGGAATTAAAGCTCGCGGACTTTACTCAGCCCCCTTGTATCCCTCGTGTGCATCCTTACAATTTCCATGCGCTGCCGGTTTTCCATTACTACCAACCGGTTGCGTTAAATCCGGCAGTTTATGTCACGGCAGTAATCTTCAAGCTGCTGGTTGCTATGATAATGCTCTCCAATACTGCACGAATTGTCAAAATCAATGCGAAAATTGCAACTACGGTCAAGATTCTTTTTCGGTTTTGACGCGCAGAGCGCCATTGTACTTGAATCAATGCGATGAATGTCAAAAAACGCATCAAATGGAAGGATGTGCGAATAATGCGCTTGAACAATGTTGTAATAAACAAGGCGAAGTACAGAATTGTAATTGTTATGAACAGTCTTACAGTAATATTGCAAAGAGAACATTTCCTATGGCCACTTCAATTACCGCTCCCTGCGAATGTGCATCAGCACCATGCGAATGTGGAATGGTAGGCGTGGCACCCGCAATTTCACCATGCGAATGTGGGATGGTAGGCGTGGCACCCGCAATTTCACCATGCGAATGTGGGATGGTAGGCGTGGCACCCGCAATTTCACCATGCGAATGTGGAATGGTAGGCGTGGCACCCGCAATTTCACCATGCGAATGTGGAATAGTAGGCACGGCGCCCGCAATTCCACCATGCGGATGTGCTACTTCACCAAATGTAGTCGATGCAAAACTTTGTTCCTCAAATGAATATCAACAAGCCGGTTGTGAAAATCATGATTGTCAAAAGTCCACAAATCAAGCAAATGAAGAACAGTGTTGTAATCAACAAGAACATTCCTATAGCCTCGTCACTAAACGTACACCATTGATATTATCGCAAACTAACGAATGCCAAGATCAACTCGCAAAAGCTTTTTGTGGCGGCGAAGAACTTGCACAGTGTTCTGATAACCAAATTCAAGCAGCCTATTCTGAAGAATGTGAAAAGGCGTATAATCAAATTGTGTAATTAACTTTCAAATTTAAATTGTGAATAATGTACTTTTAGCATGTACATTTTATCTACTTTTTAATAATTTATAGAACAATAAATAAATAAAATTGTGAAATTCACTTCAATTAGTAATTTTTGTCACCTTGTAATTACGCCAATAAATGAATCCACATTCTTGTGACATTAGAGATTTTAGTAGTAGGAGCAGCAATTTTGGATTATGAAATTAGTAGAGCGCTGATATACTTTGCTTTCTTATAAGTTTTAACTATTTACCTGCAACATAAATTCATCGGATACTTCATCTAATAGCTTATCCTCGTGTCTATTGCAAATTATCGTTTTCCTGTTCCTAGCATATCTAGTATAATTCGATGAATGCGATGCCACTTTGATGGCGAAAGATAACATAAAAATCATGTATAATAGGATAACCAATGTAAATATGCATATAATTCAAAATTTTACTATAATAATTAGTCTTATCTAATCAATCACTCTATCTATCAATTAAAAATTCTATTACAACATCTTCGCACGCCTCGGGTCTTAATGTTCTACTTGAAAAATAAAACTGTTGGCATTTGATCACAGAAATAAAGAATACCTTGAATTGTACGGCGGCATATTGAAACAATTAATAAAAAAATACACGCACATAAGATTTACCAAAATCGGAACATTCTAGATAAAAATTTTGGTTCTTAAAAATCAGCATAGATCATTAATACGTAATCAGAACACAGTTATTCAATATCACGAGATGTTATATAAAAGAAAAATGAGGTCATGGATAAATTATACCAGCATGGAACATAAAAAAAAGTTTATCAAGTTGTTCGATGATTGATTAAAATAAGTGGGCGTTCAAGATAAAATCAAAAGTTTCAAAAGTATGACTTATTTGCCCTCCTTAAACTTTTCCCACGCCAACAACTCTCGAATTTTTTATTTGAGTCAAATTTTACCAATTTAAAAACTACCATTTCTTCTTTCACTTGACAACAAATAAACTTTTAACTCTACCTGAAATTGCAATTATCCATAATGGCTTCCCAACAAAAAGTTACTGAAGAAACCCATGCTCTCGCAGACTTTAACGTTATTCCTATTGGAAGTGGTAGTACTAGTATTTCCGAAGTGAGTCTAAATTTAGATTTGTAGAAGTTATTTTTATGTTTAATCTCACGCATTTCATTTTAACAGTACATTGCTGAAACTCAAAAAGTCTTGAAGGAATCTGGGTAAGTCTTCTAACATGTTCCTGTCGTATTTAATTTTATACTACTTGTTAATATTTGTCAATCGCTCCTCAGTTTGAACTATAAACTTCACGCGTGCGGTACGAATGTCGGTTAGTATTATTTTTAACGTGTTAATGTTACGCTTTATATATATAATTAACGCATGCTATCATCTTTCCGGACTACTTAAATAGAAGGAAAATGGGACGAAGTGATGTCCACTATTCGTAAATGTGTTGATCGTTTGCACGAGATGGGAGTTTCGCGTGTCGACACCAATATTCGTATCAATGCAAGTGTATTCAATTCATTATGCTATTTATTTATTAAAATATTTGAAAACTTAAACTTTTCCATATTATTAGACTCGTAATGATAAGAAGATGACCTTGGATGACAGGTATTTATTTCTTCTAAATGAATCAATCATTGTTGTTATTTTTGTATATCTGCTAAATACTTTGATTTATCACTAGCATTCGCATCACCAATGAGAAAATGTAGATTTGCTATGAATATATAAATTTATAAATTTAGTGTCGAACCTCTTACATGTATATGGTAATGAATATGTAGTAATGATATGTACCTGCTACTATAGTGTTAGCACCAAATAAAAATAAGATTGTAATTCGTTATTTTTGAAGATGTTTGATATCGATATATCGATACATTTACACACGATTTCATATAATGAACATGGCATGGTGTAGATAATACATGTAGGTGAACGTCTGTGTATCCATTTTTCTACAAATGCAGAATTTGCAGTGATTTTAAAATTTACAAATTTACATTATAAAAATCATCTATACGAAATTTTTTACATGATTAAAATATTTAATGATATGATAAAGGCAAGCATAATTAAAAGAATCTATTGAAAAAATTAAATTTTAAAAAAACAATTAGCTTCGCCTAAGCTTTATGAATCTACTGGTTCTACTTTTGTCCATTGGAAATACCCGCGTCCCAAAGTTACTGAAATTTTTTTAAATTTGATCATCATTACGTTTATTGATTTTGCAGAATGATCTAACGTTAAATAATATCTACCATAAAAATTGTGTGTGGCACGGTACATGTATTTGTTTCCACTTTGCTGATTTACATGTATATGGAGAATCTTTTACGCGTGAGAAATACTAAAAAGGAGCCCAAACATTGACTTTGCGGCCGCTTTTAAAAACTTTTAAGTGCCTTGCACCTTATTTACCCTTAAACGTAAAAAGTATTCTTATTGATCATGAATTATATTACTGCACTCTCTCAAAATTCGCCGACCGCAATATCCGATGCTCTCTCTCAAGAAGCTCATTCTCGTGCTTTATTTGCTTCTGATCCTGATCATATTTCATTGAAAAATCCATACTTGAATTTAATTAATGTTTATCAACATGAATCAATTTGGAAGTCAAATAGCTCCAAGAATGCTTCAGATGATTGCACGATCATCATGCCATTGGAAGAAAAACGTCGACGAAAAGATGGTGATTTGGCTATTGAACCCGGTGGAAACGAACGATTTTTGAGGAATTGGCATTTTTTTACTGAAGGTTTTTCTAAATATTTAATTCTTGAATTTTGTCGAAATATTTTTAACACTATACGTATAAATAGGCACTCTCAATGGACTTGATTGGCCGAATGTTTTTGCCGCAGGTTATTTTCTTTTGCTTGATTTTGTCTTTAAACTTTCATTTATCTTATATCATTACAATTTGCTTTGGCGAATAAAATTAGGTGGTTCGGTTCTCGCTTGCCTTCTTCCACTCCCTGAAGA